CCCAGATAGGGACCAGCAAATGGTGTAATGGTCACATCACTGGTTCCCAGGTAGTTGACTGCGGTTCAAGTCCTAGGCCTGGTAGCTTAAAATTCATGCTGGGTGTGTATGCAAGCATGCCCAAGATACTGAGAGGAGGATGGAGGAGAAGGGATTGTGGCATGGCCGTCCCCCTGGGGGGTGATTTCTTGCTTTCTGATGCTCTGGTGAGCACATGCACCCTGTACCAAAAAACTTTTTTTTTTTTTTAAAGAATCCCCTCCCCAGATAAAACTGACAATGGGAAATGAAGCCATTGAAGCGTCACACCAGAGTGGCACCGTGCCCACTCGATTCAGACGCCAATGAACACCAAGACACCTGCAGAGCCAAGTCTCTTGACAATTATCCTGCTCTGTAACCCTGAGCTGGCTTGGGAAAGTAATGCCTTCGTTCAGATTTCTCGGTCTGTGTCTCTCCTGAGACTGAGCTCTGGGCCGGAGCTGTGGAACTTGCCCATGGCATGCAGAGACCTCGCAGGTGCATACCCAACGGGGGTGGAAATCTCCAGGTGTGCTCTGGTACCACGGTGGGGGCTTGCAGCCTAGCAACACATCAAGGTGAGTCTTGTAGGGCAATTCATCCTTCTCGTTCTCATGTAAATACGTCTTCTCGAGTAGAGACAAGTGCTGAGAAAGATTAGACAACGGGTAACTTGGCGTCTGACCACTGCAGAGAACATATCCCACTGGTGGTTGGTTTCCTAACGTTTTCCAAGCTCCTAGTAGACAAATCGATATAGGAATGAGAAAAATGGTTAATTCCTGGCTTATTGATGCTACTGTCTGGGTACCTGAGAGTCAAAGGATGACTGTTCTATGTTCTGAAAATACCGAAGCTCATGACCCCGTCGTTCCTTAAAAACCAGAAGTTATTTGGGGGAAGCCTTTGCACTTTCTTGCAATCGAATATGACTGCAGTAGAAATCATGTGTGCATTTGGCAGTAGAGACCGAAGGCGGCCAGCTCGAGGCTCAGCAGGGCCGCAGCCATTCTGGAGTTAAGAAAGGCTTTGGGCGAGTCTGGGTTAGGGAGTTCTGCCCGAGGGACCATCAGGTGAGAAGCCAGGAGTGTCACTGAAAAGAACAGGGAAGTGCCTTGGGGAAGCAGCTGGCGCTGACTGTAGTGAGGATGGTTTGACGGGCTTGTGTCTTGGGCCTGGGCTGAAGTCCGCTGAGCTGCTCCAGACCGGTTGATGGTGCTGCCCATCTCCCTGCAGCGAGGGGCAGAAGGGGACGCCCTTCTCGTCCAGCCTCCGTCACTCATGTCACTGTGAGCAGAAGCAGATTGACCTAGCTTGCTGCTAACAGTCTAGCCACAGGTTCCGGGTGGTAAAAGATAGACTATTTCCTTCTATAATTAGGAAAAAAACTGCATACAACGCAGCTTTCATTCGAAGGCAAGAATAACACGAGTGGAGGTGGGTACTCTAAGTCCTAAACGCTTTGCATTCCCTGCCAGATTCTCCACTAAAGCTTCCCAAGCCTTTTCTTCTCTCTCCATTCAAAAGATATTCCCTCGAATTGAGTGAGATTCAGAGCAGTGTCTAGTGCAAATTTTGTGTAATGAAAATTGCATGTCTGAGGTTATTACATTGTGTATGCGCTTTGCTGCTGCAGGTAGAGGAGAGCATGAAATGGAATTTCATGTTAAATTTTTGTTCTCTTAAGGCAAAAGTCACTTTCATCTCCTATAGAGACCCATCACAGAATGATGGAAATCTACTTGTGTGTGTGGTAGAAGAAAAATTTGTATATTACATGAAAAATGCCAGAACTTTCTCCTCAGAATTCCATGCAGAAATATCAAATCCACATTATTGTTGGCTGGGGAAAATAAAAGCAGCTCTCAGTTGAGTGGTTTGGATGTTGCAAGGAGTAGACACTGGTAGCTGCCCAAATTTCGGTTTTCTGTCAAACAAAATACTTAACTTTTCTGCCATGTGTTTCTGGGAAATATAAATATCTCTCTCAGAAATATATGCCTGGCATCATTACTCCTCTCTCCTCCAGCAGCAGATTCTACGTGGTTCCAGCTCTGGAAGTCGGACGTGACAGGGGCTTCGCCTTGTTCCAGGCCATGTGTCGGGCACAAGGCCTGGGTGAGCAGAGGCTAGCTCTGACTTACGCCGTTCTCGTTGGGTAGAAGTCCACCATGGCAATAGGGAAGACATGCCTGGGAGTGTGCTGGGGGAAATGGGCCCCCGAGGATGGTCTCCTACCCAAGGCAAGGAAGGTTAGCGTGTCATAGGCCTTCCCCGTCTAAGAGGCAGGCCAAGGAGCAGGGAAGTAGCGTCAAAGGTGCGAGATTCAGTCGTATGCCCTTTTCATGTAGTGCATAATCATGATTATTGAAAAAGGCACACACCAGAAGAAAAGACATTATTTCGAATGCAGAGAACATTGCTTTATAAAGGCGGGGAGGTGGTTCATCGAGGGTAGGCCGTCGGTGCTGTGTGCACAGGTGAGACAAAGCAGGCATCTTTTGCATGCCGACACAGTTGTGCTTCCACACCATCTATTCCTGGTGAAAGAGGCATTTCTTGGCATCTAGACAGCCCCCATGCTGCCTCACATCAGAGGTATGGAGAGACCTGGGCCCCGCCGTGCTCCCTGGGGTCTGTGCTCTGTGCTTCTTGGGGACTGAGGTGTGTGTTACCTTTGTCCCAGGGAGCTTTGCACACCTCTTCCAAGCTCTGCACGGATAAACGATTTCCACACTAGCAAGGCCGTGAATAGGCTGAGGCTTCACGTTTAATAGCATTAGGGTGTAATAGCCCCAGAGGTGAGGTACGTTCTTCTCAAATGTCTCACAGAACTAAAAGGCTGTAGTAATAATCTGCTTCATCCACTGCATATTTTTTTCTTTTCAGAAGGTTTACAGCTCTGTTTTGTCTTTGAGGTATGCATATTTTATGGAGAAATTATCTTTAAATCAGGTTTTGTTTGAGCAGAAGAGAACCCTGGAGGCTGCACGGGGGCTCGGCCCTCAGAGTTGACCCCGAGTGGAGGGGCACAGTCCCACCTCACGCGCGTGCAGGACTGCCCTGTCATAACACTGTGCAGTGTGGGGAAACCAGGAAGGGTTTTCACCACCAGGCCCAGCATTTATGGCCTCAAAGACATTTTTTTCTGCTATTTTTCCCCACTGAGAAAATGACCCAGTCTTGAAGAATGGTGCCTCCGCTCAGAACCAAGCCAGATTTCAGCACTGACGTTTTCCTCTGGCTCTGGGTTTCATGTCATGGTCACTGGGTTAGCGATCATCTTCTAAGTCACAGCAGCGTGGGAGGCTTGAGCCTTTAAGTTGTGCCAGCTTTCCTGTCGTCACAGACCGCCCAGGAGTGCCCTCGCTTGGTCTCTACCTCACGCAGCTCAGGGTTGAACGTGTTAGGGTGCGTGTGCCACGTAATTCTGTGCAGATACTACATGCGACTTCCGGTGTTCTAATCCACTACCCACAACATGACGCTGTAGGTTCCCTTTCTATCTCCATATGAGACTTTTCCTTCCTTCGTATTAACTGAAATTCATAAAGTGTACCCATTACCCAAATATGCTGCATCATGCCTTCAACACAGTGTACAGGGACCTCTGTGCTGGGGTCTCACATGCTGTGGGCCACCCATGGTGGTGTTTGCTTTGAAGGATATCCTCAGTGAACATAATTTTCCAACCTTAAGTCCTAAATAAGCCAACCATTTGTTGAACGAGTGCAGGAAAGACTTGAAAACCTATTTGATGGGATCCAGCCATGTGGGCAGGGCAGGGCAGTGCTTGGGTGACCAGAAGTTGCATGGGAAGCCCAGCTTTGTTTCTTGAGCCAACCTGAGCAGGCCGGTGCAGACTGTGCACCCCTAAGCTGAGCCAATCGGAGGCCGGGACGGGATGACCGCACAGCGAGAGCCTGTCAAAATGCCCATCTCTGTCTCTCATCTTCCTCTTGTTTTCCCTCTTCTCTCTGTCACCAAGAACATATGACGGAATGTCAGCTGGAATTCCATGCCTCGAATCGCTTCAGATAGTGGGTGAACTCTGCACTCCAGCGGTGATGCAGTCAGCAGAACTCAGGACCTCCCAGTGGGAAGCTGGTTTGCGTGTAAGGTTAGGACGCATCAGTGTGGCTACGGTGAGGTTCACAACCCCAGTGCAGTGAAGTAGGACAGCAGAGAAGCACTGCATTTCACAAGGGAACGCTGGAAGGCCGGGCTTTCTGCAGCAGGCTTGCTTTTGATTTGCAGTCCTGCCCCCTTCCTCGTGTGCGCAGGGACAAGTCACCTGGGCATCGGTGCGGTTCCCTGTGGGGTCATCAGATTGGGGGAAGGGAGGACTTCACTGCCATCCCTCCTCTCCTTCCTCCAGCTGTGCTTAGCGTGTGCACGCATCGTAACATGTTCTCTATGCCAGTGGGGACGAAGGGAGAAGTGCTTCCCTCCCGTGTCTGTCTATAAGTCTGCCGTATTTAATATCATTGGGTGTGTCATGGCTCCGTAAGTGACATATGTTGTCTCAGTTTCATGAGACATTTGAGAACGTATGAGAGATCTGTGGTGTGTGGATACCTGCACTGAACGTTTCGAAGCCACGCAGTCAGGGTGACGAGCTCACTCACCAGTGGGGCAGGAGGACGGGACCTGACACTCGGGCAAGGCCTGCTTGACGGGCTCTCCCTGGGTCCTGCCAGGCTGCCCGTCCTCCCCCAGCCTCCCCTGGAGCGCCCCCTCGGCTGCTGTGAGCGCTATTCCCTCTCCGCACCCTGCCCTTGGCCTAACATTGCTTCTGGATAGAGAAGGAGAAGGTCAGGGTCTGGGGCAATAGCAGTAATGAAAGGTCCTGACCCGACCCTGTTCTGGCGTATCAGGTTGCTATTTTTTTTTTTTTTTTTTTTTTTTTTGGTGATTATCCCAGAAGAATTTACGGGAAGTCATGTATTCCTGGCGAGGGCTCATTTCATTGAAACGACTCGGATTCTTGTAGGGAGACAAACATATTTATGTGCATGTATGTCTGTTTTAAATATATACCTCCTGAACTTGGAGACGTTTTCAAAGCCGCCTTCTATGAATTGCTTATTTTAGTAATAGGAAGTATGTGAATGTACCTGAAGGAGCGAGGACACCTTCAACAGGGTCTCGTTACCCCACAGCCATCCAGCTTGTCAGGGCCCCGGCACACACATGTGCACGCCCGTTTCTCAGCCCAGCCCGGGATCTGAACCCGCAGTGAGCCACGTGGTTCCCACACTGCCTTCCAGTTTGCTGTCAACGGCACTGCCAGGCCCGGCCGCTCTGCCGTTACTTTTACTGATGCTTCTGTGGCCAGTTGCTCTTCCCCGATTCTCAGATTTCATTCTCTGAAAGGATGGGACACAAAGGGTTCTCACCAACACGTGAAGAAAAGCCGGAACCCTGGACATCAAGCACATGCCTGCACTGGGGAAGCCTGCAAGTGCTCATCACCCACTTGGCACTTTGCGGGAAGCCCAAGGCCTCCTGCTCGTCCTGGCTCCCCCCTCTGAGGGGTTCACGTGATGCAGCTGTGCAGACCGTGCTGACGGGAGCAGAAATTGGCACTCCGCCTGTAACAGCAGCTCTTTGAAGACATCTGGTCCAGCAGTTCTGTCTGGGAAGACTGCTTCTTCCTGAAAGTTTGGCCCAGTTCTTCTCTCCTGAGGACCTTAAATCCAGACAGAGATAATGAGAGCCATACATGGGAGCAGAGCCCAGGGAAAGACAGGAGGCTGTCTGCAAAGCCCACGCGCAGGGCCATAACCAGTGCTCTGCAGGAGGGCCCCCTCCACTGGTGAGAAGTGAACAGCATGGACGGTGGACTCGACGGCGCCCCCTGCTGTCAGACTGCAGGCTGCTGCCTTCCTGAAGGGGGGCGAGCAGCCTCACCATAGGCCGGGCCTGGCCACGTGATCCGGAAGCCGCTGCCCACACCCCTTCTTGCCATATCACCCGCAGCTACTTGAGTTTGTTTTTCTCTAAAAATCAAACTAAATCTTACCCAAACCTCATTAAATTGGAGAAAGGTTTTATGAATGTGATTTTTTTTCTGTCAAAGAAATAGGCCTCTTAAACTAATTTAAATGCAAGAATTGACTGATCATAAAGATAATTTAAATAGTGCTCAAATAGGTTTTATTTGTAATATATTTCTCCAATGTTGTAATGCTACTTAGAAATAAATAATGCAAGTGTCTCAGGAATCCGTTATGAGAAAAAAGTATTTTAACATTGCTTTACAAAGGATGATTATGAAATATTATTAAAATTTTAGTTACGTATAACTTAGAATCACATGAATCCTGACCTAGAATATTTTATACCTCACAGGAATTGAACGAAACTGAAAAAAAAGTAGAAGAAATAACCTTTTTAATAAAACTTACATATTTAATACCTTGCTTGTCTGACTATAAATTTATTTTTAAGTCTTAATCATAGTGTTTGCTGAAACTAAAATTGCTTAGCCCCAGAATATACTTAACCTAAAAATTTATAGACCTCTAGTCAAAAGATTCTGGAACCATAAACTGGTGTGAGTTTTATTTGAGGGGCTCAGTCGAGGCTGGGGTCTCCTCGCCTGGTTTGTGCTTCCATAACAGACAACCACACAGGCGTAATGTACCGTGAACAGAGGTGTCCTGGCCACAGTTCTGGTGGGGAGTCCCAGATCAAGGAGCCAGCATCTGCGTCGAACATGGTGGAAAGTGTCGCATGATGGAAGGAACAGGAAAGAAAGGAAAGCCAGCAGGTGTCAACTCACTGCTGTGACACAAAGCCACTGTCACGATAGCCCCTCCCATGGTCATGACACTAGTCCAACCAGGAGGGCGGAGCCTCGTGACCTGAGCCCTTCTCAACAGCCCCACCTGCAGCGCCGTGGCAGTGGTGGTTCCATTCCAGGACCTTTGAGGGGACCAACATGCAGCCATAGCAACGGGCCATGGTTGTTTTCAGGGTTCAGCTCAAATTCTTGCTCACATGCCCTAGAGCTGCTGTGCTCATCAGAGCGGGTGACACTTAGTAGGCGTCTTAGCTCTTTCACTTCTCAGATCAGATCAGCGAGCCAGTGCCAGTGCTCAGTGTGCACCAGGCTGTGCTGCTGCTTTGACCCTGCAGTCCCTCATGGTCACCATGTTCCCCTTGCGTTTGGTGCTCAAGTCCTGCCACGTAACCTCTGCCTCCCTGGGGTCCAGCGGCTGCCATTGCACTGGATCCCAGGTCAGAGACCGCTGCCCGCTAGCACTGCAATTGTAGCAGTTGTAACTCACTCTGGTCTCAGCCAAACAGCCAGCCAGGCCCTTCCGTCCTCTGGCTGCAGGGTTACGTGCAGAATCTCCTTAGCGAGCACATGCTAATTAATTCAGCCCCATCTTGATCTTTCTGTTCCTCCCTGATTATCTCAATGCTGAGTTCCACCAGGGTCCCCATATTTGCGTCTGTATGCCTCAGACGGCCCCAGTGGTTCAGGAGCGAGCACACCTTCTCACCAGCTGCCCAGGGCACCCCAACTTTAGGACCTCTGGGACTCGAGCCCAGTCTTGGTCTAGAAGCCAGGAGGGCTGGTGGGGAGAGTCCGAAGGAGAACGCGCACCATCTCCCCTGCCGCGGCCTCAGGAGAAGTGTGGCAGCTCGCACAGGGCAGGGCAGCCTCCTCAGCAGACGTAGGGACCCCGTGTCCCCAACTTCACGACCTCCAACACATCCTGTCAGTGTGCAGGATGTAAAGCGCTGGTCTTCAGGCCTCGCGCCTGCTGATGCGCACCCTCCCGTTGGGCAGCTCTAGCTGCACTGAACGTGTTCCTCGGGCAGGTGGAGATGCCGGCATTTCAGAAAACAGCTGAGTCCCGCAGCTCGGACTCCTTTATTCCCATCCTTTAGTAAGTCTGCTGCTCCGTCAGCCTAAGAGCTGGACAAAGGGTGCACTCTTAAAACTTGGGATGAGCAGATAGCATAATGGATTTGTTGCTGGGCTCCCACGTAGTCGACTGGTTCAAGTCCTAGACCCAGCAGCTTAAAATTCACACTGGGTACATGTGCATGTGTGCCCAAAATCCCAAGAAGAGAATGGAGGAGAAGGGATTGTAGTGTGGCCAACCGCCCTGGGGGTGATTTCTGGGTTTCTGTCTCTTAGGCAACCACTTTTTAAAAAGTCTCTTTAAAAAGATCTTTTGAACATTTTTATCCTGAGCATATCCCACCCTCAGAGCCAACCCTGCTGTCCCCACGGCACAGGTAGGTGTTTCGGTTGCCACCTTCTGTCAGATGCTGTCTGCTTCAGACCTGGAGCCAGGCTGGCCAGAGGCTTCAGGTTCTTATGTACTGCAGAGCCTCAGCCTCTTCTTAATAAATGTTTGTTTATATTTTCATGTATTTTCTTTAACTACCACATGCATGAAATATTTATTGTGGAATTCATACTGAATCAAACCATATTTCCCTCCAAACAGTTATTTTAAGGCTTTTGCCGTGGGTTGTGTGTTCTTATCAGAGAGAGAGAGAATGAGAAATCACCTCCTGGGGGGATGGTCATGCCACAATCCCTTCTCCATTCTCTTCTTAGAATTTTTGACACACATACGTGCCTGGTGTGATTTTTCAAACTGCTATGTCCAGGGCTCAAACCGTGGTCAGCCATGTGGGAATCCAGCACCTTAACCATTATACCACCTGCTGGCCCTCTCCAAACAATTTTTTAAAGTTTATTTTCATTTATATCTTCTGAAAGAGAGACAGACAGCATCTCTGGTGGATCTTGAGGCTGCAGTCCCAAGCCAGTTCCTGCCTGTCAGGTCCTGGTTGTAGGGAGGCATCATGGTGGGACCCCAGGGCCTGTCCACGTGGTCTTGGCACTGCAGGTGACTGTGCCACTGCTGCACAGGGCTGGCCCCGCCACACACGTTTTCAAACACTTTATAAAATTATAGTTCTTTAAGTCCAGATATTTTCCTCATTAATTACTCTCATCACATGAATTTCTATCCTCAACTCTGGCAACAGGAGCTACTGCCATTTTAGCTTGTGTATTTCAGAAGCAGAGAGTACGCTTCCTGACTGCAGGACGTAGGGGGTAAAACGGTGACATGGAGACCGAGAAAACAAGTGACAGAATGGAAACCTGTACCGCTGCCGCCGTGCCAGCGAAGCAAAACTGCTGCGTCTGGGCCTTACTATTTAGAATTTATTTTTCATTTAACTTTATTTACTTACTTACATATTTATTTATTTTAATTTGACTAGAGAGGGACAAAATGAGAGCGAGCGAGCAAGCCACCGGATCTAGGACTTGAACTGCGGTCAACTTTGTGGAAGTCCAGCACCCTTAACCACCACACCACCTGCTCCTCCCCTTTTTTCACTTTTGAAATTAGTTAAGATGGGAAAAGACATGAGTCAGTGCTGAAATAGCATTAGCGTGTGAGGAAGTAGGGAGGGGTGCTTTACTCACTTTTGACTGACAGGAGGAGAGTGTCCACGCTTCATACCCGTGGGCAGTTGTGATCGGTTCCAGGAAGACCAAGCATTGAGTTGCCAGAAAAGTGATGACGCATCTTTGCATAGAAAAGCAGAGAAAGACAACAGTAGTCCAGCTAAATCCCAGCCTGGATTAAGTAGGTGATTCAGGGAAATCTCTCTCCTGTCATTTGGCTGCCTCCTTGGTTAGCAGTTAGGGACACCACCCCTCCCAGGGAGCAGGCAGGCTGAGCAGGAGAGATGGCGCAGGTGCTGCAGTGTGAGCTCGAGTTGTTCCAGAGCAGTGGAGACGCACCGTGGCCTGCAGAGGGAAACTGCCGTGGATGGAGAGTTTCCGTGTGGAGGGGCCGTGCCGGCTTTAGGGGTCTGTGTTCACTTACTGACCGCCTCTTCTCTCCTGCGTATCAGAAGGCGTGAGTGAGTCTGCACGCTCCGCAGAATGTACCTGTGTTGACACGTTGATCTATTAAGTTATTAATTGCTTCATATTTTCTCTCTTTTTCCAGCACATGTAAATGAAAACAATTATTACATAGTCCTAGGATGTCTAAATATTATAGCAGTTTAATAACCTACAATCATCCATTTAATGAACAAATTCTTTAGCAGCCAAAAATTTTACATCCTTTCTTTTGCTTCTGGGCCCAGAACTTTAAGTTAAGATTTCGGGTTTCTGTATAATCGATGCACATCTTTGTGTTATCTTTTTATTTAAGGCATGCAGTAACCAGTCAGGGATATACCCACACTGTCTTCAGCACCGACCGTCACACTGTGGTGTTACGTCTGTTGATGGTTCTAGTTCTTTTTCAAAATCTATTCAATTATCCATATTGTTTATTCTGCCACAATGCCCATTTCACGGCAGTTTTAATCTCAACACCCTTCCCAGCACGTTGCAGTGTTTATTTGGCGTGCGTGGTCTTGGTAAGGGGAACGTAGGCTGACGCGTTTTCCTTTCTCTGAGTTTCTGGGACGAGGGTAGAACAAGACCACAGGGGCAGGAGTCCTGCGGAGTAAGCCAACCCCACCGCCCACACAAACGCGGCGCAGTGCGAGAGGGTCCAGGGGGCGCCAGCTCTGGCATGTGCAGGGGAAAGAGCGGCCCCAGCGCGGAGGCTGTGGGGGCTCTATGCCTCCTCCTCTTCCTGAGGCCTGGGCCCTGTGCCACAAGCCGGCTGTAGACAGATGAGCTTAGAGGCGTGAAGTCTCGGTGGTGCCTGGTTCATGCTGACGTGGGAGAGCCTCGGGCCCCTCTCCACTGTGTGCTGTGGCTGCACCCCTTAGCGGGGACCCCTGTCTAGGGTTCTGTAGTCTCAGCAAAAAGAAAACCGTGACGAGGTACAGAGGCGGAGCAAGGCCGGACACTGGCACTGCCTGTGAAGGGCACGAGGAGGACCGCACTGGGGGACAGTCCTCTGTTGTCCCCACCCAGGAAGGAATTGGTGAAGCCATGAAGGTACTATTACGTGCTAATGAAGGGACAGGGACGCTGGAAATCTCGGTCTTTGATCTGTGTTTCTTTCCATTTTAACCTAATTACAGTAAAGCCAGGAAGAGCGCCTTGGTTCTCACTCACTTTACGTCCTGTTAATTGAGACGGTGGGTAAGGGCCCACGTACCGACGTCTTTCAGAATATGTCTCTGTAACGGAGCGTGGCAGAAACGCGTCCGCGGTCTCCTCCTGGGAGCACAGCGTGGAGTGACTGCTGTGTCTCCAGGTCATGTTGAAACCTTGTCCACAATGTCGGGGTGTTCAGATATGGGGCTTAGGAGGTGATTAATGCCCTCGGATAGAGTCCCTCAAAACTGCCTCCCCCACTCACCACGTGAGACCCAGCAAGAAAGTGCCACCCGGGAACCGGGACGCGGCCGTGACCAGCTGAAGCTGCTGGTGTCTTGACTGTGGATTTCTCGGCCCCCAGAACGGTGAGAGGTGCCCAGTGCGGTATGTTTATTATACAGCCTGAGAGGATTGCAGCAGGGGGCCACCCATCTCCCCAGAAAGTAGTGAGTTAGTTAAGCACCAAGTGGTAAGAGCAGGCACCTGAGAATCAGCATTTGGGTCGGATCAGCCAATCACTAGGCACCTGGGCACGTTCGTCAGCCTAAAAGGTTATTAGCATCATGATGTTTTTGTTTGGGAGACAGGCAGTTACGACTATCAGAATAAAAACTAACACAGTCTGGCTTATTTCCCTATTATTTGCTCCGTATGTGAAG